CGGGTCCGGGCTGGGGATTCGAACCCGCCACCTTAGGTGTACGTGGCTGGCGCCCTAGCCGGTTGAGCCACAGGCGCCGAGCCCAAGGTGAAGATTCTTGACAGCATCTTAATCGACTGTTGACAGGTCCCAAATTAGCAAATTAATAGGGTGCTTTTCCTAATTTTTTATTTTTTGAGATAGAGTCTCATTTGCCCAGATTAGAGTTGCCATGGCCTCAGCTTAGCTCAAACTCCTTGGCTTAAACAATCCTCCTGACTTAGCCTCCCCAGTATTTGGGATTACAAGCTCATGCCACCATGCCTGGCTAACTTTTCTAGTTTTTAAAATTTTAATTTAGTTTAATTTAATTTAATTTTTTGAGACAGAGTCTTACTATGTCGCCCTTGGTAGAGTGCCATGGCATCAGCTCACAGCAACCTCTAACTGGGCTTAAGCAATTCTTTTGCCTCAGCCTCCCAAGTAGTGGGGACTATAGGAACACACCACAATGCCCAGCTATTTTTGTTGTTGTTATAGTTGTCGTCGTTTAGCAGACCCAGGACAGATTTGAACCCACCTGCTTCAGTGAACATATCTGGCACTCTAATCACAGAGCATGGGCACCTAGACAATTTTTCTATTTTTAGTAGAGACTGGGTCTTGCTCTTGTTCAGGCTGGTCAGGAACTGCTGAGCTCAAGCAATCCTCTCACCTCAGCCTCTTAGGGTACTAGGATTACACTGAATCACTATGCCTGGCCACCTATTTATACTATTGATGGTTTTTAATCTTTATTTATATAGTTAAAATGCTATGGAATGGTATATTATTGCTCATCTCTTCCTAATTTCACATTCAATGTCTTCACATTGAAAGGTTACTGAAATGTTGAAATTGGCCACAGTGGGAGTATTTACACCACCTATATTTGAAACACTAAAAATCACAGTTTGCTTTATAATTTTGTTGTTTTTTGCTTTGTTTGTTTTTGATCTTACTCTGTTGCCCAGGCTAGAGTGCTGTGGAATCAGCCTAGCTCACAGCAACCGCAGACTCTTGGGTTCAAGAGGTCCTCCTACCTCAGACTCCATGAGTAGCTGGGACTACAGGCATGGGTCACCATGTTGAGCTAGCTTTTCTATTTTTCTTTTTTTAAGTAGAGACAGGGTCTTGCTCCTGCTCAGGTTGGTCTTGAACTCCTGAGCTCAAGTAATCCACAGGCCTCAGCTTCCCAGAGTGCTAGAATCACTGGCTTTAACCACCACACCCAGCTCCTTAAAATTATTTATTACTCTGGTTTCTCAAAAAATTTGAAAAATCTTTATAAACATAAACATATTCCAAGTAATTCTGTGATCTTTAGAAAACTACTCTGATTTTCACTTATATCCTCTTTTCATTAAGAAAAACTTTTGAGGACTGGGTGAGTGCCTATAATCCTAGCACTGTGGGAGTCTGAGGCAGATGGATTCTCTGAGCTCACAAGTTCTAGACCAGTCTGAGCAAGAGTGAGACCTCTGTCTCTAAAAATAGCTAGCTGGGCACACCTGTAGTCCCAGCTACTCAGGAGGCTGAGGCAAGAGGATCACTTAAGCCCAAGAGTTTGAGGTTGCTGTGAGCCATAACACCATGGCATTCTATTGAGGGTGACAAACTGAAACTGTTTAAAAAAAAAAAAGGCTTGGTGCCCATAGCACAGTGGTTACAGTGCCAGCCACATGCACTGAGGATGGTGGGTTCAAACCTGGCCCAGGCCAGCTAAACAACAATGACAACTGCAACAAAAAAATAGCAGGTGTTGCGGTGGGTGCCTGTAGTCCCATCTACTTTGGAGGCTAAGGAAAGAGAATCGCTTAAGTCCAAGAGTTTGATGTTGCTGTGAGCTGTGATGACACTGCACTCTACTGAGGGTGACAAAGTGAGACTCTTGTCTCAAAAAAAAAAAGGCTGGGCACAGTGGCTCATGCCTGTAATCCTAGTACTCTGGGATTGGTGGGTGGATTGCCTGAACTCACAAATTCAAGATCAGCCTGAGCCAGAGTGAGACCTGGCTAAAAATAGCTGGGTATTGGCTTGTTGCCTGTGGCTCAAGCAGCTAAGGCGCCAGCCACATACACCTGAGTGGAGGGTTTGAATCCAACACAGGCCTGCCAAACAATGACAGCTGCAACCAAAAAATAGCTGGGCGTTGTGGCAGGTGCCTGTAGTCCCAGCTACTTGGGAGGCAGAGACAGGAGACTCGCTTGAGCCCAGGAGTTAGAGGTTGCTGTGAGCTGTGATGTCACAGCACTCTACCAGGGTGACAGCTTGAGGCTCTGTCTCAAAAAAAAAAAAGGAAAAATTTCCAGATTTCCAGATTGAGGAATTAGAAACACTGGTACATCTAGAGCTATTGATAGCAAATCAAACAAAAATGAAGCAATGACTACATTATATATAAGTAGGGCATCAGTTTAAATAGTGTGCCCTTAAACCAAAGTGTCAAGATCCTCATAGGGCCTTGATTGTAAAGCAGATACCTTTTTATCAGAGAAGTGATGTTTTTAAAAAAATATTTTTAAATATTTTTTGTTCCTGTCTCTACTAAAAAGAGAAAGGTATTGTGTTTTTTCCCTAAGCACTCAAATATTAATGTCTGTGATTATAAACTAATTGAATAGTCTT